ATATATATATGGTCTCGTGAGCACCAAGTATTAATTCCCCCAAAGGGTTCTGATTCGAAGATCCCGTACCACGAGATTCAAACCCCCAACCCGAGAGACTTACGTTAGAGACCGCACCAATGAGCCAGGTAATTCGCATATATATATATATATATATATATATGTCAAATAAATTAATTTTTAAGATAGTATAAAAATATAAATTTAATAGGCAGTCTATATAACTATATTTATAATATTTGTACCTAAATGTTGACATCAAAATTAAGGCAATGTAAAGATATACGAAATAAATTTGAAAATGAAGATAATTATTTTATTATTTAAATACTTTTTTTTTTAAAAAATATATGATGGTGAACCTTATGTCTCACATATCCCCCCTTCTATTATTTAAATTGACTTCTAGCCCTAACACCGCCAAATACCATACATGTGTAAATAGAGAAAAACAAATGGTGGGGCCCGAGAAATATTAAAAAAAATAATTATGATTTTATTTTTGTTTTATTTGTTATAAGCGTTGAAATTTCATTTAATGTAATAAATATTAAAATCGTTGAAAATGGCTTGACAAGTAAATGGCTTTCTCCACTCTCAACTCCATTTAATAACAAGCCTCATGATTTGAAAATAGAAAAAGTAACTATTATCAAAATGTTATAATAAATATTAGTTAGAATATATCAAAGTTTTTTTAATTTATTTTGACATGAATTAAATATTAATAGTTTTGCTTTTTAAAAAAAAAATAAATCTAAAAAAAATTGATAGCTAATAATTTGTCTAAAAATTATGACATAAATTCATTAAGGATGTTCTCTGGAAACGAAGCGTTGTTGTTGTTGTGTCTAAAAATTTTAAGATATACCAAGATTATAATTTTAATAATAATATAATTTTTTTTTTTTGGAATTTTGTATACATATCATATAATTCTTATTGTTAAATCCGAATATAATATGCCTAACGCATAGAGCATGAGAATCGATTGAGAAAGAGGGAAA